TCCATAGGTCTCACGGCTGTCTCAGTTCCCATCATGGGACCTCCCTCCATAGGTCTCACAGCTGTCTCAGTTCCCACTGCAGGGCCTCCCTCCATATATCCACAGCTGCCTTACACATGTGCTCATCACTCCATGTCTCCATTTGTCCTTTTACTCTGTCTCATCTCTGTGTTTATATAACACAACACACACCTCATTTACAAGGGAGGGGAGCTCTGAAGAGTTGGTCGGGTCCTCCAATTTGCATGCCACTGTCCCTTTAATTTCAGAGAGGCCCATAAGCACTTTGTCACTGAGATGACTTTTGAAAGATCATACTTAAGGGGTAGAAGTGGGTTTGGCTGTATAAATGTATTTCAATCGCAGAACAATAACCTACTAACACTAATCCGCTAAGTGAAACATTTTTCCGAACACGCTGTACTGTTCAGCCCTTGAACAGACACTAGTGATTCTGTAAATGCAGAGAAGAATGTTCTCATCTCACCTGAGAAACACTTACAATCCGCACACAAAGCTAACACTTTTAAGGAATTCTCCACAGAACACGTTCATTATTTACCTTTCCTTGGACATCAAGAGTGTGAGTAGTGAAGCTGTGGCAGAAATCAAATTCCCAGAAATCGGCAAAAATCAAACTCCCAGCAAAAGTGAGCTTGTTTCTTAGCAGCTAAGCCACACATTCTGCCGCTGGCACTGCCTGGATTGTTCATAACTGAAGAGGAAAGGGACAGAAGGCCAGAAGATCAAGCAAAGCCTGGGGAAGTATAGCATGGAGGCAGCCTGCAGAAGCTTTGTCCGTGCACAGCAAACAAGCAGACGAAAGTTACATTTCAGACATAAGCTACATCTCAGATGTAAGTCATATCTCAGACGTGATGAGGCAGGATACCAACAGCCCAGGTGTGTGCGGGGTGTGTGGAGACATGTGCATCACGGGCAGGACCCCACTCTACCGAAAATGTTGTTAAACTGTCTGCGTTTGGTGGACTGCTTATAATCACTGCACTATAACAGAACACCTGGAAATGCTCTCTGTAAATAAACCCACTGAAGGATTTGAGAGATATCAGTTCTTGCCTAATGAATCCAAACAGTCAGTGCAAGCCTAATCAAAATATCTGCTGGGTTTTTTCCATTAATGGAATTTCACAAGATGATTATAGAGTACAGAAGAAAAAAAAAAAGCACAAGAGTAAAAAAAAAATTAATAAAGAATAATGAATAGGGACTCACACTGCCAGATATTAAAGATACTATAAATCTATAGTAATTACAGGATGGTATTAGTGAGGGAGACAAACAAATCAACAGAAAAGGGAGAGCCCAGAAACAGAGACACACATTAACTCTAATGAGGACAGTATTTTAAATCTGCAAAGAAGGAATTAACAATTCAATAAGTGATGCTGGAAACTCTAACCCACCATTTGGTATTGCTATATGAGATCACACACACACACACACACACACACACACTCACACACACACACACATACATCAGAGTGGACTGAAAACCTAAATGTAAAAGCACAAAAAAATTTTCATTTATTTTGGCATATGAAAGGCCTTAATTAAGCAAGTCACAAAACCTACTAAGTCTTGAGACTGACAGATACAGTAAGATAAAAAATCTGTAATTCTAATAAAGACACATATCAGTGACTAGCAATTTTAAAGAAAGGAGGTACATAGTACATGACAGGGAAGTTTTTAGATGTGTCTCATATAAACTTCTGCTGCAGATCAACAAAGGGACGAAACGACAACAAACAGGCAAAACACACAAACAGTCCATTCACAGAAGAAAGAGGAATCATCAATGACTCTGAGTTTCATGCTCCTGATTAGAAATGCAAATTACAATGAGAATCTATCTATCTACCTATCGATCCATCCATCCATCCATCCATCCATCCATCCATCCACCCGCCCATCCATCCACCCGCCCATCCATCCATTCCATTTTTATCCAGCAAACTGGAAAGCAGGATAAAATGTGAATAATGCCCCATTGTTGAAGGATGCAGGGCACTCATTCATCAATGGTGGGAATGTAAATTAATGAAGCTTTTACAGAAGGCAATTGGGAAGTACTTATAAAAATTTTAAAGGCACATTCCTTCTGACTACTTCTAGATATCCATCCTATAGAAATACTTGCATTTGTACATGAAATGTTTTGGCTGGCAGAAAAGCTGCAAATTATCTAAATGCCAGTGTGGTAGAGACTGCTAGTCTATAGCTGATTTTATCTCTCTTCTAAAGCAGTTGCAGCTGAGCACATTGCCCAGTTTCCTTTCCAGTGAAGTCTGTCCCGCAGCCAAATTCTGGCCAGCGTGACATGGTCAGAAGCGCAACGTCCACGCTCTCGGAGCGTGACGTGGTCAGA